TTTTTGTCAATCCGTTTTCTGATGCCAACTTGTAGAGTATATCTTCCGTGCAGGGAATACGTTCGGGGTGCGTTTTACGCATACAGGCGGAGATTGTCCGCGCCATCGTATGATATATTCAGCAGCCACAAGTAACGCGGTGTCTTTGAAAATTGATGGTAACTATACCTTCCCAGGTGGTTTTCTGATATCCATTATTTTTATTTATTCACATCCTTTTGTGTTTCTGCTAGATTGGCAAGACAATTCCATGGGAACATGACCGAACATTTTACACCTTTCGGATGATAGTGTTGATTTCATTACTGCCAGTCCAACTGAACACTATCCATTTCGGATTCACATTCTTAGCACCCTGCCTCTTTGGAACTGCCAGACCCATAACCGAAGACAATCCAAACACATGCCAGAAGCTCTCACTGGAATCTGACTTGGAGATTTCAGTTTTTGGTTGCCAGTTTGATGAGAACCCATGTTTGCTTCAAGCGTTGATTCTAATCATAAGAGAATGTTATGGGCTGTTTGGTTAATTCCCGATTTTAATCAAGTTAAGGGTGCATACGCGTAATTAAGTTGCCCATCTACAGTTGCATGCTAAGATGTATACACGGCCATTCCACCATCTATTCAACCCTCGAATATTGCTGAAGGAGATATTTAAAAGAAATTTTTGGGAAATTAATAAAACGGCAGCGGATTGTGGATATTTCCAATTATGAATTCTTCTAATACTATCATATGGCTGTCAAACAGGTAGGCATATAACAATTTCGTGGATAGAAATGGGTTTACTGTTTACTAATGCTTTCGTTCAATACGAATGTCGAAGCGCACACCCACCATAATGCGAGCACCGGCAATTCAAACAGTACATGCATTCCTTCTCCAACAGGACAGAGAAGTATATAACCTTGTTGCAAAATATTGAAAAGTTGAAGTCAGGAAACCAAGCCTGCAGAAGCTCACCAGGCGGGCCTCTGAAAGATGGATGTCCGAAAGTACTGAGATCAGATTATATTTCAGAAAGAAGGGTAAGTCTCATTCATTCACTAGTCAATTGCTCGTTAAATGTTACTATTCGATGGTGCGTTTTGGCTCGGCCAAAGTTATGCAAGTCCTCTACATGTTCTTGCTGATACAAGCGCGATATATGATGTATACATACCACCTCAAGCAGGTAATGACTTTGTGATTTAGTTTGCATTAGGACATAGAGTAGTATATAGTAGACATAGCAGATCCCGTCAAGGCGAGTGAGGAGGCAAATACTATTTTATTTGATACTATGAGTTTATTAGGAGAATGTTACCCAGATGAACAGGAGAACGATGTTGTGTAAAATTATGATTAATTTATATCCGGTACAAATAGTCTCAGTTTATTTTGTTTTTATTTATTTTTTTTGTAGATGTTCATGTTATTTAATAATATGTAATAAATCAAAGCTGATAGTTAGTTACTCGTTTTTTTCCTTTATTGGAATCCAATATGCCATCAATAAAGATGCTGATTCGAAACGATCAGAGAAGCTTATAAAACAGACAGTTTCTAGTACCACAGAACCATCCACCTTACTTCAGGACGCATGGATAATATCGATCAACGAGTCTACAAATTAAGAGCCGCTATGTTATTATCCTTGGATTATTCCAACTCCATCCCATATCTCATCTTTAAGGGCTGTTTTTACTTCTAGATGTCAAATATAGTTTTATCCGTCAATGAGATTTCTGTTTACGAAGCGCGTATCCCGTTGCATGTATGAAGTAATCTCTATCACTACATACAAAATCTTCCCAACAATATTATCGCCAATTCTAGTCCTCTCGCTTAAACGAAAGGTTGAATGCATTTATTGAATTATTTCAACATTCATCCTTATCTCTTAGTCGATCAATACGAATGTTAATATACCAAAGACCACGGAACTTTTTGACTGAAAACCATTACACAACAGTGACAAATAGTAAGAGCAAACTGAAGAGGACATAACGTCGACTATATCGTCAAATATCCCAAATATTTGTCATAATTGGTGCGATTAATGTTTCTTTCAAATTCTCCATAAAGCTCGAGCGCGAGCATCACCTGAGATGATACGAGTACTCGTATTTATACAGCTATCTTTATTAGCAACAAATCCATTCTACATAATATGATTAAAAATTACTCCATTTGTACAAATTCAAAGAATCGGACTGTCCCATGAGACATGGATTGCTTGTTACTGACATCAAGTAAGATCTCATCCAGGTAAACGTAATTCTGCTTTTCGCTGACGATGGATATTAGATTTCGCCGTGTTTATAAATGACCCACAAATCTCGATTAAAAACGGTGTCTCATTCAAGCCGAGTGATATTTGCGAGAGAGCAGATACTCTTCCCAGCTAATCATCCCACTATTAGAAAGAAAGTAAATCAAAGATTTACGTTTAGCCAATCTCACCGCCTTGACATCTTAACTGACATGTTTGCAATACCGTCACTTACTCATTGTCCATATCGTCTTCCTCAAGAACATGATCAACCATTTCAATAATTTCGTCAAGAGAAAGTGTTTGTTTACCGTCCTCGTTGTGGTCAACAAAAGCTTCTCGTAATTCATGTCCATCAAGGTGGCCATCTTTGTTTACATCATGAATAGAAAACATATAGTAGAGTTCATCGTCAGCCGACAATTTTTCAGGATGAGGAATGTCTTTAAGGTGCTGCTGGACATGTCTAGGAACACATTTAAGTAAAGAAAAGTTTGTAAGCCGAGAATGCACCAACAGTTAACAAATAAAGTTGAGATACGTGCTTGGCGGAAAAATATGGCGATAAACCAAATCAAACGCATCATTACACGTCGGGGTCTTGATTAGTTTCGTTTTTGACGCCAATATTTATTGTTACGTAAACTTACTCTCTTACTCTCTCAGAGTCTCCAAAGTTTTGATGTTCGCCTTGGTAATTGATCGCACGTTGAAAGGCTAGAGCACCAGCTAAAAGTGTGTAGAGACACAATAATGATATGAATAGGCTTAGTGTCCGCATCGCAAGAATAACAAGTCGGAAGAAAAGAACGTGCGTAATATTTTGCACAGAAACTGTAAAATAAGAAATAACAAATCACCAGGTTAAGAAATGGTATGTGAATGTAAGCACCACGGAAATTAACACAAATGGTACTATTGTATAATAGAGCAACGATGAGTCACCTGATGTTCAAAAAACCCATACTAATACTAATACTAATACAGTTACCGTATATTATGAATAAGCACACCCACCCCCATGATTACCATAATTACCCACACAATGTACCCCTCATTAACAGTTTATTACATAATGCAGTGATTATAAAATCATTCTATAATACAATTCTGGTTACTGTGATTACTATAAACTAACCCCCTAAGTTTGTTATTTACGTGACGGTTTTGCCGATCATTTTCATATGATCGAGGGGGTGTGCTTATTCACGATAATATACGGTACCATAACCAGATAATCATCAAAGTTTATTGCTATTTTTTGAAAACACATGACCTTATAATCATTTGCAAATACGACAGAGTGAAAGGATAGTGACTATCTATAATTAAGCTTTTTGCTTTGGTTCTTGTGGAATCATTTCCACAACCCGCGGAGGGACTTCTTATGCTGCTCTGATTATAAATTTTCGCAATATCAAACAGTCGACCCACACGATTTACAAGATTTTATAGGCTATACTCGCTCGGCATACCCTATTGCTAATATCTGTGGAGAATCTCTGACGCCCATTCCGAAGTATTATATAAAACATAACTTTCTTATATAGAGATAGTTTCATATAGACTATTTTTTAGATCAACTTTCTTATATCAAATTTTAATTAGTGTTTCTTATATCGAGAGCTTCTTATATCGAGTTTCACTTGTACAAGCATGCTGGTATGTCATCCGTGTACCGGATGTTACTTGGAAAAATGGAATCATAATCATGGTAAATGCGTCTTATAGTGCTGATGGTAGATTACAGTCGCTGCCCTCAATCAAGTACGTATATTAACATCTAGGAATGTCGTTTTAGTCTTGCCATGATGGTCCCTGGATGTCGGACCTGTGTTTTCACTACGCATGCCAGAATGCAGAAGCCAGCAGATAGATAAAAAGTCCACACACACACGCCCACACACACACACACGCACACGCACACGCACGCACACGCACACGCCCACACACACGCACGGCAATTATGGAACTATTTAAATAGAGGCATTAATTTAAGTTTTTACATACCAAGACAACCATTCGTCTATTTCTCATTCCATTGGAAGCCACAAACGTGATTACAGCACTTGTAGAATATAGACATAGGTTCATCAGCTGAACGTGTTTGAATCTGCATGAAATAGGCCCGAGGATGTTCACATTTCGGACAAGTCACTAGTATTGCGAGCGCGAAGCATGTTAGATAGTTACTATTAAAATATTTCTTCAGAACTTGATTAATGCGAATATTTACCATCCGTCGAATCTACATTCTTCCATGCCTCCTCACCACCAAGCACGTCGTCTACTTCTTTACTTTTAAACGTAGTTACATTTTTATACTAACAATGCAAATTCAAGTTGATATCGTTATCAAACCAGAGATCAAATACAAAAACTGAGTAAAGATATAAATGAATACTTACAGGTCGCGTTATAGGGAACACATATGGACATGTTTGACAGAAAAACTGCTGCTCAACAAGTGTCTGTTGAACGAGTAGAAGATTTCCACAACAAGGGCAGAATAACATTTGAGCGCTGGCGAGAGAACGTGTTCAGAATGTTCAGTATTCGTTGTGTCCCCGTTGACGATTAAATAAAATAATGAGATTGATCATGCCATACCCATTAAATACCCATTAAATATTGTGTGGCTTTGCTTTTTTGGGAAAAAAAGTGTGATCAATTCTTGTGCGACGAAGACTGAGAACATACGACTGTGTTGTGACGAGTCAAAACGCTAACGCTAATCTTCTCAATGTATCTCTCTCGCAACGCAGTAGTCAGGAAGCCAGCTATTCCTCTTCCTCAGGTCAACGTCTACCCTCACCGTTCACTGTCAATTGTCTCGGCCCGACTTTATCCTGGGAAGAGTGAAGGTGCTATCCGCGAGTCTGCTACAGCATTTTCGAGAAAGGAGAAGGCCGCTGAAGATCAGTGGGCCCGTCAAAGAGTGAGTAAAGCATATTGAGACCATTATGGTTAAACTGAAGCCACATATATCAGTATCTCACGAATTTCTCGTTCTTAGGATGCCGAGAAACTAAAACATCTACGTGAAGCACTTGAAAAGCACGAAAAGTCTCTTAAAGATACACATGAAGCACTCAAGGACATTAAAGAGAATATTGACAATTTGTCAGAGAAGATCAAAGATGACTGAAGAAGTAACGCCATTATATTAAACTTACGACTGATCAATCCTCCGTAATTCGGGACGATTTGAGTTCAAAAATACGCATTTGATAAAACTGTGTTGTCATCGTTGAGATGTATTCTATGATAATTCGATCATTCTTGTATGCAATAAACGAAACAAGCCCAAGTGCCTGTTCTTCAAGCAGTAAGTTGTCATCTTTTTTTTTTTTTTTCATATCGTTATTTCAGTTAGATCTCCTTGTTCTACATAACCAAGCGAATTTATGTTTGAATGAGGCCTCCTCTTATCACTGTTCTTGATCAACGCTTTTTATTCCGCACTTGATACATTTGTTATTCTATCCGATAATTGGTTCTTATACTTATCACACATGCGGTATAAACGTCTGAACACGCAGTAAGCAGGAAGATAGAATCAAGCGTATTAAGAGACATAGGATATGACACATGTCGCTTCCTATTCATCTCCTATTTATTCTCGTCGAATTTCAGCCATTACATAACAAACGCTACTATTGCATGTCTCATCGCCAATCTCTTCGATGGTGTGCTTCACCAGAATATTGCTATACCGTACAGTTCAAAGAATGGGAGAGATAATTTTACTCGCCTGCATATAAATTCTTAACGTGTTAATATTATAGATCATATGTCCCAGGGTTACCAAACTACATATAAAGTAAAAGTATATTTTATTTATTTCACAGAATTTGATTTATTTTATATATTGAATAAATACATTGATCTGTTATAAATGTTAAAATGTACATATAAATTATATTGTTGTTAGTCATCCGTTATGCATGACTACTGTCATCGTTTCCCCATTAAACAAACGCTGCTTTGCCAACTTTTGGTAATGTAATACTGGGAAGAAGAAGGCTTTTGAGTCTTAGCCAAAGCCTTGCTCCTGTATTTTCAACCTTTTTATTCCAAAGATCCAAAGAAGTCTGAGTGGAACTGGATGCCATAGTCTTATTATTCCAAAGGTCTAAAGTCAAAGAAGGGTGTGATTTTAGGACCTTTGCCAATGCTGTTATTCCCGCATTACCAATATGGTTATTAAGGAGATTCAAAGAAACCAGAGAAAAATTTGATTCCAAAGATCTTGCCAAAGCTATGGCTCCTGTGTCCCCAATATTATTCTTCCAAAGATACAACGAAGTTAGAGAATGATTTGATTCCAGACTCCTTGCTAATGCTGTTGCTCCTGTATCCCCAATATTATTTGATTCTAAATTTAAAGAAGTCAAAGAGGAATTCTGTTCCAGTGCCCTTGCCAAGACCATTGCCCCTGTATCTCCAATATTATTTGATTCCAGATTTAAAGAAGTTAAAGTCAAATTATTTTCCAGGGCATTTCCCAAGGCTGTTGTTCCCATATCTCCAATCCCATTGTTCCAGAGATCCAAAGAAGTTAGGGAAGAATTTGACTCAAGCACTTCTGCTAGAGCTATTGCCCCCAGATATCCAATTTTATTTGAATTTATATCTAAAGAAGTCAAAGAGGAATTTGATTGTAGAGCCTTTGCCAATGCTGTTGCACCTTCAATTCCAATCTGATTGTGACAAAAATTCAAAAAAGATATGGCAGTAGAAGAATTTAATTCGATAGCTCTTGCCAGAGCACTTGCTCCTACATCACTGATTGTATTATTCTCAAGATCCAAAGAAGTCAAAGAAGTATTTGATTCTAAAGCTGTTGCAAAAGCTACTGCTCCTGTATCTCCAATATTGTTTGATTCTAGAATTAAAGAAGTTAAAGTAGAGTTTAATTCTAGAGCTTTTGCTAAGGCAATTGCCCCTATATCTCCAATATGGTTATTATCAAGCTCCAAAGAAGTCAGGGATGAGTTTAACTCTAGACCCTTTGCTAGAGCTGTTGCTCCTGTTTCTCCAATCTTATTATTCCAAAGACGTAAAGTAGTCAGAGATTTGTTTGATTCTAGAGCTTCTGCCAGAGCTATTGCTCCTGCATTCCCAATATTATTTGATCTTAAATTTAAAGAAGTCAGAGCTGAATTTGATTCTAGAGCCTTTGCTAGAGCTGTTGTTCCTACAGCCCCAATTTGATTATAATAAAGATCCAAAGATGTCAAGGATAAGTTGAATTCAAGAGCTTTAGCCAAATCCGTTGCTCCCACATTTTTAATCCAATTGTATTGTAAGTATAATAATGTCAGGGAGGAATTATAATGTAAAGCTTCTGCCAAAGCCGTTGCGCCCATATTTCCAATCTTGTTACCACAAAGATTCAAACATTTCAGTGTAGAATTTGATTTTAATGCTTCTGCCAAAGCTATTGCTCCTGTGTCTCTAATCTCATTGTATTCAAGTTGCAAAAAAGTCAGACATGAATTTGATTCTAGAGATTTTGCTAAAATGCTTACTCCTTCATCTCCAATACCATTCTTGTGTAAATTTAATGAAGTCAAGGAGGAATATAATTTTAGAATTTTTGCCAATGCCGCAACCCCTGCTTTTCCAATTTGATAGTTTAGATTTAATGTTGTTTGATCAATTGCCGAATTAAATAATTTTAATTCTTCATATACTTCATTACTTGGCGGTCGCTTCTCGGGATCATTATCCCAACATCTTGAATAAAGTTCAACATACTCCTCAGGTGTTCCAGGAACAGGAGGATCACGAGAGCCATCCAGCCTGTAAAAAATGATTTGATGGCTTTCAGTATGTCCTGCACAGGGAGGCTGTCCACTAGAAATTTCCCAAAGCACTACTCCCAAGCTGAAGATGTCGGAACTTTTTCCGCGTTCATACGATTTATCCTGATAGGATACTGGATCTTTGTATGCTTCATGTCCTTTATGATGTGACTTAGACATGTGTTTTAATATTCTGGATAAGCCAAAGTCAGTAATTTTTGCAACGCCATTCTGAATTAGGATATTAGCGGAAGTCTAAATATTAATATAAAATATACGCAATAAGTTTTAGATCGAAAATACGTTTTAGATAAACGGTCAAAGGTGCGACTTGATAAATACCAGATCCTTGTGAATAATTTCCAGTTTATGCAAGTACATCAAACCGTTGGTAATGTCCAAGGCTAACTTGTATTTAGTTTTCCACGTCAAGCCATCAAAATTCTTTCTCAAATGTTCAAACAAAGTTCCATCGTCAGCATATTCCAAAATCATATGATAATGCCCGTATGTATCTATTGTATGAAATAGAATAAGTTATTATCCAGAGAACATAACATTCGACATAATCAATCAGGTGTACCTTGGCATAATCCTAAAAATCGAATGATGTTTGGATGTTTATCCACCCACTTATGATTTTGTAGCTAAACGAATTGACATAATTTCAGTTCAGATGCACTATACAGTAATATATTAGCAGCATAACAACACTGTCAACCATAATGAATATGAATGCTGACCTCTCTAACAAACTCCTTGTATAACTCTGTCTCATATCCGTTTCTCTCTTGAAACAGAGTTTTCATTGCAACAGTTATGCCAGAATGTTTCATCTTCGCTTTATGTACCACTCCATATCCACCATGTCCAATGGGCATATGATGATCCACGACAATATCACTGTGCAAACAGCATTCGATTAAACCTTCTTCAATGCTCTTCTTCAACCATTCTTTATATTCGTTATCCTGAGACATGACTTTGACAAGGCCATGTGTGACGATCATTCAGGTTAAATCGATGACCGAAATGTAGTACATTTCGATGAGAATGTTTCATAACCTTGTACTTGTATTTCGCTACGAATACCCGATCACGGTTCCCTCAAGCTAGTCATAGTTTCTTGGAATGTTTTTTGGAATACAGTATATTGCCTCACATATCTGAAGGACGAATAGAATAGTGCAATACAAGTGAAACACTCATGGAGGACGTGTTTTGAGAACAGTTAAAACATAACTTTCCTTTATTTGTTAATAATAATGTTAATAAATATAATAAGGTATGAGAAAATAATCTTAAGTATATTAATATAATATCAGTTTTAATAATTTATATAGCCGATGTTCTAATAGTTTTTTTTTGTCTCTTTGTTTTTACTTTTTTTTGTCTTTTGTTTTTTTAAATTTTAAATAATTCAAGCACGAGGAAAGGAGGGATGTCTAATTCCTTTACCTTAGACATAATACATGGGATATCGACTTGCCAAATTCGGCTCGGTTACATGCAGTTGCCCGTCGACAATATGTGATCGCGCCCTCTTCGCGGCGCAATGCGCATAATAGGTTGGTGCAGGAATGGAAACTGCTCTAGGCGACCGTTGGAAATTATAACACAGCTTGTTCAAAAGGTCCTGAATCTCATCCGCTCCAAACCCATTCTCGTCATAGAGGACACAATAACGACATGAACGTGAGGTTCCTTGAAGACTCGAATGTGAATTGATATAAAAATCAAAGAATTGCGGGTGAGTGATGTCACGCTCAACAGTCAATCCGGGTTTTACGTTTTTATTTCTGTCATTTTCATCGTCCGGTTGCTTAGGATAAAATCTTGTCTGGTGTCTTTTACAAGCGACGATATAGGTAATCGTCGGGTTATAATTCGGATCCACTTTGTGGCATGCCGCTTTTATAGAAGGAAGTTCCTTTTCTAATGCCAAAGACTGAAATTGACTTTCGCTGATACCATCTCTACACATTATGAGGCTTTGCGGAAACGACTTGCGGACACCTTCAAATTCACATAGAATCTCATATACCATATCACTCATATCGTCGATTTCTTCTTTACCGCGACCGGTTTTCTGGCTGTTCTTTGATTCCTTATGCTGTTCTCGATGTTTCTCTACGTATTGAACGGCATATTCATCAACGGATCCTACAACTGCTGCAATCGATGGAACTCCCTTTGACCCTGATGGTGGATGAGTGACGTCGGCTCCGAGAAACATCGTTGGTACTTTTTTGGTTCGAGGCAGGTCCATGGTGTAGTTTATTCCATTGAGTTTCAAGTTGAGTTTTAAGGCGACATTCGAGAGGTATGCCGTCTTAACGTCTTTGATACGGGAGGCCTGAATGCATTGAGATAAGATACCAATTTGGGTATCACTGATTACCTTGACGGGATTATATACTTGGGAACAGTTTTTTTTATCTTCGAGAATGTAAAAAACAAGTTGGGGCAAACAGTTCTTCGATCTCTTATCTTCAAGGATTTTTGAAATTTCTTCACGAGCCTGATTATAGTCTACCCATTGGACACACTCGACTTGTGGAGCTTCGGTTGAGATTTCCATACCCAATTTTCTCGCTTGGTCGCCTAATTTGCGAAGGAATCCCTTGACTGATTTCGAGAAAGTTCCCGGCAAAAAGGAAATGGCAAACAAACTCAGCAGGTTCTCTCCCCGTTTGAAGAATTTTAGATCACGCAAATTCCATGTAGCATCACACTCTTCCGGTTTGACAGTAATAGGCCTATTAGAAGGTGAGGCGAAAGTGAGTTCTGGCATTTCTTTGAAATGCGCTGGCACGAGAGCCATTTCCATATCGACAGTAAAGCCGGCTTGTTGGAATAGACCTTCTTGTTTAAGTAACAATACATTCTTGATACCGTCTAGAATGAGTTTTTTGTTTGTGTTGGGACGTTTGGCTGTGATTCTGATAATCTTAGCGCGTTGTTCGCCGGTCAAATGCTTGTCTTGATATCGTTGTCCCTACGTTGAAGAATAAAGATTTTAATATGTACCTTCATCTTTAGCTCTCATCAATTACACACGCACATGCATATATATATTATTTATGTACCTCAATGATCCCACAAAATTCAATCGGAATTAGGGTCTTTCCTTTGCGAATTTCGATTATATGATGTGTTTTCAAGGTTACATTGTAGACATTCTTAAAATGCTCAGCAACGCTTATTGTCTTTCCATCTTTGTTGGGAAACGTAGCTTGGTGCGCATTTTTATTATGCAGTCTACAGACAATGTATTTGGTCTTACATTCCGGGCGATGGAGAGGTCTGACTTTGATATCCTTTATGACACTGTTTATATTGTCAAACGTTCGTTTGTTAAAGTTACCCGGCAGTCTCTGTTTACCGATAAATTTGCAAATCCACTCCTCCAAGCTAACCGGCTCATAAGCGGTCATATGATTCACATTCACGTTCAAATAGACTTTACCTATAATATTCAATCGTAAGAAAAAAATAAAGCTGCTTGTCACGTGAATTGTCGACTTACCATCGCCCGAGCGAGCACTTGAAAAGAATCCTTGCCACAATTCCACGCCACCTCCAAGCAATTCTTTAGTCCCAGGGTCAAATATTGATTCGCCATATTGAGTATATTTGAGAGCGGGATTATGATGTAAGAAGGCATTAATCATTTTCAAGCCTTGATTGTTGAAAAAGTCCCACTCGAAATTATTGCTCGTTAAAACGGCTCTCAAATCATCAAGCAAGATTTCCGGCTCGTTGTCATGATCTTTTATATGTATATAGTACTCATTTGGTCTGCCAGTATGATTGTGATCGTTATTTAATTCAACAAGTTCGCTAGTTCGATTGGTTTCCCCAAGAGCTAGCTTGCGGGTTGTATAAACAACACTGCCGCCATCATATGCAGCGCCGATGTGTTGGAAAATATCCGACCGATGACTTGTTTGGAAAGCATTGAAAATGCATCTTCGGAGCTCTTTCTTGCTGTTGGAATCGCCAGTAAGAGGCTCTCTATGGCCACTTTCATCCTCATTACGCGAAAGCCTATAGAATTCGACTATATATTGATAGTAATTTGATGCCTTTCCCATCCGTAGTTCGAATCTGTTCGTCAAAACTTCAGTCCTCTTTCTTGAGCCACTTCCTTCATCGCCGAAGCCGGGCCGTTGGCAAAGAGTTATCGGCGGAGCATTCTTAGTGGGAACTAGAGGCAGTATAGAGGCCATTGAGAGCGCTAGTTTGATGTAAAATTTGTATGTTGAAGGAATATCTAGGGTTTTCCCGAATGAGGGAGTATTGCTTATTAATCAGATATTCCGGAACGCGCTGCTATGTAACTATTCCAGGCTCGATGTCAATCTCATTTAACGGTCAGATAAAGAAGGCCGTGTCTTATATATTAAGGAATATGAACACAACGTCGCAGTGTAAAACATTACTACAACCTGTTTGGTGGTGTCAGTGTAATTCTCACTCATTAATCGGGATTCTGAAAAAGTAACGGGATGTTATCAATTGATGTTACGCCAAAAACAACTACCACTGTTTCTCCTTTTTGGAAATAACCTGTTTCTTAAGCTGCGCCTATTTCATCAATCTTAGGTGTAACTAATAAAGTAACGCAAAACTCCTATTTCATTTAAGTGCGCAGCGAATTTCTCTGGCTCCATTTGATCCTCTTACCAGAGTAACTAAGGATTTCGCAGTACGAATTAGCCACTTGAGTTGCAAGTGTTATATTACAGTCCGCTCCAAAGTTATAAGCCACGTATAACAATTATCGGGTGTATAGTTATAATTAATGTAGCAGGATGATTCATCAACTATCTACGTTACACGAATATAGGGAATCACCGAACAGTAACTTGAACATGTTTAATAGCGCCTTCTTCCTTTAGTTTTGACCAAAAACCAATTATTTACTTGAACAGATTGTACAAAAATCCGCAGTTTTCGGACCCACTGTGTTCTCCTATTTTGGAAATTAAAATTTTCACGTGATTGGAACATTTACGGGTACATATCCGACACTTTTCACTCTTATCGATTAAAAATGCCAATCGATCACTACCTTATTCCTGACTATAGCCATCTATATAAACACGATGAACATTCTGACATTCATATACACGTTGGTAAAGGAAGCGACTTGACAGTCTTTCGGGTACATTTGCAAGTACTATGCAAACGTTCTTCATACTTCAACCAGTCATTTTCCGATGACGTTAAAAATTCAAAAACGCAAGCGCAAGGAGAAGCTCTCACCAGCATTGAAGCCTTCAACATATATTACCGAGACTTGTCCCCAATTGCGTTTGGAAGCATTCTCAGGTAAATTAAATGGTCATTCTAATGACTATTAATAGTCAACGGAATTGGCTGACCCCGTCTCTTATTTCAGGTATATGTACATGGGAAAACTATCACCGTCTAAACACCAATATCTTGAACTACTGGAAGTTGTAAAGATAGCAAATAAATTTGCATTAAAGAAGCTTGTCGAAGCATTGCTAAGAACGATTTCTGAAGAGTTGGTTTGCCTACTCGAAAAGAACCTCATATCAACTATGATCACAGCCGAAGATGAAAGATTCGATGCATTAGAGAGACGTTGCCTAGCAATAATCGAAGAAAGTCCGGAGGCTGTGCTTCTGTCAAACGATTTTCTCAAGTGCAACAAGAATCTTTTAATTGCGCAATTGAAAAAAGATAGGCTTGACATGGGCGAAGCAGAAATATGGGACTGTATTCTTAATTGGTCGATAGCCCAAGCAAATGTCTCCTCGGACTCGAATAATTGGAGCGCAGATGATATTGCAACACTAAAAATGATAATAGCAGAAGTAGCTCCTCATCTGAGATTGTTCTACATGAAACAACCCGATTTCTTGGAAAGAGAACCGATTATGGAGAAACTTCTCCCAGAGGCACTGCACAAAGTGTTGAAGCAATTTTACTTGGCTAATGGGAATAATCAAAACATCACGCTACCAAAGCCAAGGGTTCGCTTCCCTATTATTAATTCGATATTAATAAACAAAGAGCAGGCGCGTTGGATTGCGCAACACATTCGACGGCAAACACCATCTAGTTCACGCAATTCATTCGATATGGATCCATTTTGTGATTTCGAGTTGCTGTTGTCTGGAAGCTTGGACGGATTTACACCAACGATTTTTCATCGTACCTGTGACAACAAGGGACCCACTATTGTGGTAGCAAAGATAAAAAATAGTAATGAGATAGTCGGTGGATATTGTCCATTAGATTGGAAATCGCCTCGTAAAGAGTACTATGGAAATTGCTCAGATAGTTTTATATTTGCGTTTCATGGGAACGGATTACATAATGCTAAATATAGTCACGTACAAGAAGCGAATCATGCTATATTCTTTACAGCCGATTCTGGTCCATGTTTCGGTTATAATGGGGCGGATTTGTATTTTGGTGGTAAAAAGCCTGCTTGTTCGACGCAAAGAGAATCTTATTCTATACCAATCAGAAATAGTAACAATTGGTTTGCAATAATGGATTATGAAGTATTTCAAGTCGTAAAGAGAGATTGATTTTTATTAAAAGTTTCAACGTTTTTTTGGCCATTTATATTTATTATCTTTCATGATTGGTCAACGGTGCCTTTATATTAACGAGGAACTACAGCCCTTCGTAAAGCAGGTGGACTAATCGATGCCGAATTACAAACGCAATACAACTACATATTATTTGTATTCCCATAAGCGTTGATACCAACGTTCGTTCATGCATAGGACCAAATTTTAAAAGTATTAAATTCAACAATGTGAAATTGTTAACGACTATTTCTTCTTTCTCATGTTTAATCTCTACAAGACGCAACAAAGCGAACAACTTAATAACGATACTGGATACAGGACTTAGTGGTTGTTCCAATCGAACTGTACTATATTCCAGTTTGTTTGTACGCGGGTTGAAGCTAAAGATAGGAGCAGATGAACAGCAATTAGAACATTGATTAGTCGCTCTCCAAACACCAAAGTCCTTGCAATCGTTTCACTTACTCTGGCATCCTATGTCGTGGACAATCGACAAGCTTGAACAATTGTGGGGCCGAGTATACGAAATTAAATATTTGCGGTATGAAGAATAACAATAGTGTCTTGCTAAAGTGTCCCAATACGCTCACGACGGCAAAGGTCATTCCAGCAAAGTAACAATATGTATCTCCAACAAATACGCGCGCCGGGAACCTAAAAGCAATATAAATCAATAGACCGTTTGCAGATAGTATATATGATTTGTAAACACATAATACAGACCAGTTATGTATCATTAGACCAATTGTGACACCGATGAAGGGAATGAGAAAAAACAATGAGAATAAATGTGTCTCAACAGTTTGATCAAAAGCGTTGAGGAATAGCAAGTCGTTAGCTGCAATGGAGGTAGCAATCACTAGCGATTGACCAATTTCAACGCCGTTAATGCCAGCCAAAATATTGATTGAATTTGTACAGAATACTGCCATCATCCCCATATATACATAATATATTGGACCTGCCAAATACAAGAGATGGTTAGTTCTTACGATCCTACAAGCTATCTCATGATAAAGACGAAATACGTTACCCAAGTCTAGAATTTGGCCAAATATGAACCGGAATGGAATCGGCACACTAATATGCGTTTCACCAGATCCGACATAGTAATTAATCAATATTGGAATGGATGCTATCGTCGGTAAAAGTAATTTGTATCTCCATCGTATATCAAACACATCGTCAGCAAATCCAAGAAGAATCATCGACTGAAGCGAGAGCAAAGCGGACAGGAATTCACCGAGTTTGTTGTGGGGAAAAGTAGGAGTATGAAACGGTTCTTTACGAGAGAGAATATGCTGGCCTGTAAAGTAATCCATGAATGGAAAAGGAATAAACAGAAAGAGGCAGATCAAGTAAACCGTTGCGGCAACAACACCCATGCTCTCAGGACTAAATAATAATAACAAGTCATTAAATACTGAATGGTATGACGTATAGAAATGGCATGATCTATGTTCTGAACCATCGTGCAGATATAAAAGCTTTTATAAATTAACGTACAGTATTGGTTTAGTCAGTTTGTGCGCATCTCGTCCAGTTCTCTTGGCGTTCAGAAAACTCTCTGTTAACATTGGAATAATAAGCCACGTTGTTGATCCACCAAGTATGCCGAATCCAATTGATGCTGTTAGCGGATCATGCACTGTGTTGAATATAATTGCTAAAGCGACAGTAATTGTAGATGCGACTGTTAAGAATGCTGTGAGCGATAGCATAGCGAAGAAGGCAACAAGGAGAGAAAAGACATTTCTGGGATTAACACTTTTGATCGTCACTATAAGGAAATGAATTGACCATCCAATGAACTTTAAGAATCTAATTAGCTCTTTTTGTCAAATAATGTCTGCATATTTAGATGAACAGTCTTAACGTCGTCTTCATATTGACCTGGTATCTTGTAAGACTGTACCAATTAATTATAAGGTTAGAATTGTTTATGTTGAGCGCCACAACTTTGTCTTACCTCGAAATAAAATAGCTTATTACTCAAATGGGTATATATTTATTGTAATGATAACCGAGTCGTCAAATTGACTATTTTATTTATTCATCAACAATCATTTCACCGACAATCATTTCACCGACAAATATTTACCAACATTATTTGATTGTCGATGAAATAATACGGACCCGCGACAAACAGTATTCCGTGATTAATAGACTAGAAAGTAATTTCCTGCCAAATTCTGGATAGAAATTAACATTTAAAATCAACCTTCACGCTTATATTTGTTGTTGTCTTAGTATTAGAGGGATGTTGTTTCTAAAACTAAATTCCTGCTGCAGAATAGCTATCTTAAAATCTAAATGGTCAACAACCATCGCGAAATAATATCGGTAATCGGTTAGTTATGTAGATAATAAACACCCTTGACCGATACTTACAATGGAAGCATAACTTGATTTAAATACTCATTGAGTTTTGTCCTCTGTTCAGTATATCATCCTTTCGCAGTGTGATAGCACTTCTGATTAAGCTCAAGGAATGGACTTTGTGTATGTATGAGCCTTGCTATTTGGCTGCTTTCCAACATCCAGTCAGATGTACTTGTTTTTGTTCCAATTTCAGTTGTCTCATACTCATGATGGGTTATTTTTCATATGAGAGGTCTGTTCATGTTGTACTTTTTATTTCATGCCAAATTTTTTTGACCATTTTTCTGACTTTAATCTACTAGTCAGGGGTATTGATTATGATGTTATTTTACTATACGATTTGCATCTGACGCATTGTCCTAAAAATATATAAACTTTTTACTAAAGGTTGTCTTTGAGCATTTTTAACGCTTCTTGAAGAAGCAATTGACTCAGTTGTTTCTAAGATGGTCAGTATAAGTGCTGTAGTAAGATTGCGAATATTACTTGGGTGGCATAAGCCTTAATTCTACAGTTAAACTAACGCCTTAAACCTTTTTGAAATCATCAGTCGTAATTCCTTGCTCAAGGCTTATGTATTTGACATCCGCTTTCTATATATATTCACAATGGTTATCGCTAACTACTAAGCCCAAATCGAAATTTCATATGATGTTCCGCTTTCTATTGTAAACTGTCGCATAAACATTGGCCAAATTCAGTGTAAGTAATGGAATTGGTAATCGAGAGAGTAGCCTGAAATGGTAGAAAGTTGGAAATTATAGGTAATAGAGCAGTGACCAGAATTTGGCGAAGTAAAGATTACACAGACGGGTTGAGCCTAACCATTCAATCTCCACCATTTTGAGATTGAATAGTAGATGATAATGTTAGATACTCGAAGTAAACGTTCTCTAATTTCAACACAGCCGCCAAATGTGAGCCTTCACTTTTCGGACTCCAGGTATCCTACTGACTATGTACTATGAGCATGTAAGGCTTCTTCACCTTTCAGCATAAATGTTTCATTAACGCCTCATAATTTCACAAATTTGTCATTATCTATGTCGTTCATATAACACTAGTGTACTGCCTTTAATCTTGCAGAACAGTGATTGCAAGTCGCATATTCATATAACGGACTATTCGTCTCGGACTGCAGTTTTCCGTAGATTCTTAAACAGGTGTATTAAATGTGTAAGTAATGATACAGAGGAGATATAGGCTATTTGTAATATAGCATCGTATGTATGCTTGACTACCTTGAGATAGTTATGTTGATATGTTAATTTCATTTATGTTGTTTTGAAGTTAGTATATAAGAATCAATCAAACATCAATAAATGATTTATAATGTCAACGCGATTATTAATACAGTGACACCTCTACAAGTGCACCATCCATAAGTGCACACCCTCATCCCTATATGCACTCTGTAGCACGGTCCCAAGCTTGGACTTGGAGCTAAATGCACACCCTCCATGCAAGCGATTTATAATTGTATAACCTCCATAAGTGCACGCATGTGTCATTTAAAAAAGGTCGTGATTTCAATGCAATAGTGACATTAGTTTACTTATTAATACTAAAATATACTCGTGCTTACAAAACTGTAAATACATTGACATAAGATATTTTCTAAAATAGTAAAAATTTTAATCACATTTTCCAAATTAAGCGAAGATGACATAAACGCCACAATAATACAATAAATAATTGTCGTAAATAGTTGCTGAAGAGCATATTATTTATGAAGTTCCCAGGAAAACAAGTCAATGCGTCAAACTAACATTGACTTAAAGTGTAGTCTGACTTCGATGTGATAGTATAATTTGATAATAAGATAATAAAGAGAAAGTACTAGTCACTATTCTGTGTAACAGTTTGCTGTTTTCTATTCGTTGTTCTATAAGTGCACACCCTCCCCAAGTGCAAGTCCCGAGAGCGTGCACTTATAGAGGTGTCACTGTACTAGGCAATTTACGCTTATAAAGTAACGACTAAATATTATAGTATTTTTGAGACATATTGCCAGAACATCAGTTATTTTTAGCGATTTACTAAATATGGTTTGGTTATTTTTTATACGCCAAAATTTCGTCATCAACTTACCGTAGAGCGCTGACTAAAGTACCCCCCCGTGTAAAGTACCCCCCACCATATAAGGCAATGGATTTGTAAAAGACCCCGGGTACAGAAAACTTCGATGATTACATATCACGTGGCTAATAATAACCAATAACAATTTGCATTAATCCCCCAAGCATAGAAGATGGGTGTCATAGAGTGATCAAGAATAGAATAGATGAGTTCTAGATTGATTGTGCAGCTGGAACTGTTGTTAGCAAACCAATAAGTATGAGCAAAATTTGAGAAATATAATTTGTACCCCGGGTACTTTACACGGATACATAATACTCTGTCCACAGTACCCCCCGAGTAAAGTACCCCCCCTTATTACAGGATTTGTAAAGTACCCCGGGTCCTTTAGTCAGCGCTCTATGGTACTATTTTACCAATAAAGAAAGTATATACAACTACCATAAAAATGGATTTACTTTGTTGTTTATTCTGTGGCCATAACCACTTCGGACGTTCCAACCCGAACATTATCATACGATCCGACATTCGAACTTCTTTTTGGCTAGTTACTATTCAACAGCTTAAATTGGGCTTTAGCGAGCACCTCGTTGTGAATAAGAGTTCCTCGCGATAGCATCAATGTCCTATTTAGTTACTCGATCATAACACTTTGAGAAGGCGAAACCGAATCCCGAT